CCCCAAAACCCCAAAACCCCAAAACCCCAAAACCCCTTATGTAAGTAAATTCATTGAATTATAATAATTATGTTAAAAACAATAATTATCGGGTTAGCTTTGCTCAGCGCTTGCTTTGCAAAAGACCTAAAAATTGCAGTTGTTAGCGACATCCACTATAATATCTTCTTCAATGAGACTTTGGACCCCAGAGACGGATATTGTGAGCATGAAGATAAATGGGATAGATTAGGCTCCTCTTTAGTTGAAAGCCCATTTGGACGTTTTGGATGAGATACTCCTGCAAAGATGGCAGAACTCATGGTGGATAAACTTACAGAGATCCAGCCAGACACTGACATCGTCCTTGTCTCTGGAGATTTTGTATCGCATGGATATGCTGTCAAAAGAGGTTCTGAGGAAGATCATTACGATGAACTTAAAGTAGCACTCCATGATGTTTTTGTTGATTTACTAGGTACAAGATTTCCAAATTCTATTATTCTTCCTGCTATTGGAAATAACGATATCAGATTTCATTATATTGCTCCAAGGCAAGACGAAGAAGCAGCTGACTATTACTCTTTCTTATCGAATATGCTCTTCACAGAAGTGCCAGGTAATAGTGGAGTTAACAGAAGGCAGATTGATAGAACCTTCAAAAAGTATGGTTATTATAGATATGACATTCATCCGACTTGTGATGGAGAGACTTGTCTTAGTATCATCTCCTTTAATAGTCTGTACAATAGCCTAAACAGACCTCGAGACTCTGAAGAAGATATTGCTCAAGCTCAGCTCGAATGGCTCTATGATAATCTAGAGACTGCTGAAGAAGGAAGAAAATTCATCGTCTTTATGCACATCTACCCCGGACAATACCAGGTGTTCCAAGAAACTTACTTCTGGGATGATTCAACAACTGAAAAATTCATTAACATTATGGAAATGCATTCTGAGAAAATAATGATGACTTTAGGAGCTCATACTCATTACTCAGATCTTCGTGTAAATATTCCTTACAAAGAAAATTCTGATGAAGAACCTGTTGCCAAATTTTCAATGTTAGCTACACCTTCGTTCTCTCTTTCAAACTACAACAATCCAGGGTTCACTAGATTTGTTGTCAGGAATAATACCGTACAAGATCTGAAGCTAACCTTTATGAATGCTCACCACTTCCCTCAAGAGCCTAAGAATGCTAGATTCAACGAACTTGACTACAAAAAAGATCTTGGATTAGAAACTTGGACTCACAAAAATGTTCAGGATGTGATCAAAAATACATTGGAAAACAACTGGTCCCTCTTCATGAGATACCTAGGATGGAAGGTTGGATTCCAAGGACTCATTAGCATGTATGGAGTGTTTATCCACAGACTTCTTGGCTCTGTGGGTATCTTCTCAAGCCCCATCTTCTTCTGTGCTTCCAGACATGTAAACAAAGTTGACTTCCATAAGTGCCTCGGTAAATAATTGGTGATCCATTGGAGTCCTTTCAAAATTCAATTTTCCTTTCTATTATGGGGTTTTGGGGTTTTGGGGTTTTGGGGTTTTGGGG